TGCGGCCTCAAAGGGTATGGTTTTTCAGCCTTTTTGGTCAAAAATAGGGTATCGATTTTAGCTATTTTTGTCAGAAATAGGGTATGTTTCTTAGAAGAAGTTACTTTTTCCTTATTATCGATAAGACCATCAACAAAAGCCGTTCATAAATTTATGTTTAGAGCAACTGTGCCAGTCCGCAATGGCCATAAATAAGGTATCAAATTGTTGGTCAGGTCATAACGGGGGTAGGGAAAATCGCAGATTTTGGTGATAAATTGGGTAAGGGTTTTGGGAAGCGGGGCCGCACACTCCCAGCCAATTTTTCTGGGAGCACCCCCGCCCCGAAATTAATGGAATCCTGGCCCTGAGAGTCAGTAGGGGTTAGCTCATAGCAGAGCATTGTTTAGATGGCGTGCTTTTACTGATAGCTGAGGAATTTGAATACAACCCCTCACTGAGTTGTCTGTTACCTGATTGTTCCGTAAACATTTCTCGCAATTGGCCATTTTTAGCTGTGCCTAATGAAGTTAGGTTTAAATAAGCCCTAACCAAAGAGAATTTTATAAGCTGCACCATGTTGCGGATTGTTGTCACGTACAGGCCACTGAAGACTACTTCAGCGGTAATTTGTGGGTTTCATAATCCTTCTCACAGAGTTGTTTGGCTGTCATTTCTCATCAAATCTATCTATAAATAAATAGGCTGCGCAGTTATCACCTTGACCTTAACTTCACTGATTTGACCGGTAAAGTTTTCGGTAATTTTCATTGGTCAGTGGCCTGTGAACAGCAAGTGCGATGCACGCGTTCCGCAGCCAGGATATCATTTGGAGCTGAGGATTATCGCGTGGTATAGTGTCTCGCGTGACCAATTCTGACCAATCAACACCATATAACCATTCTTGAAGGATTACTCTCAACAATGAAGTATTTACGATTTCCTCTATCCATCAGCTATGTCAGGTATTTCAAAATGTTTTAGGCTGGAAATAAATAAAATTTTATTTGAAGAAGGGCTTGAATTCATAACCTGTGATCAGGCGTTCTTTTTTGGAGCGAACGAACAAAAAAACACTACATTTGCCCCCCCCAAAAACGGTTGATTGCATGTTATTAAATTCGTTGCTTGTGTGCGTCTTTGTTGGGAAGAATTTCTAGTCAAAGGAGTGTCTGCGTAGCTAGAGGGCCAATTGCCCCACAAACGTTTCACTATGGTCTGGGATGTGTTAACTGTCGCGTGATTACAGTCTGCCACGTGAGAGATGCCATGTCAGAGATGCCACATGACAGATGCAACGTGACCTTGTTTGGCCAATCCGTACAATAGAAAAAGAAACATTGATGGGAAAAGCTGTCAATAAAATTAATGCAATGCAACGGTCGTGTAGACAAAGAACGCCCCAAGACCACACGAAAATTATAGGGATCATCCCAGGTGTTGCGACCAGTCCGAAGATTCGAAGCCTTTCGAATGTCGACCGAAAACCACCTGTAGTATAACAAGGATTTAGAAGTCTTTCGAAGAATTTCGAAGCTCAACTGCAACTGAACCCGTCACCCGAGAGATGGACACTTTTTTTTTTAACTCGGATAAACGATAATTCGGCACCCTCAAAGAGACCCTCACTTTAAAATTATGTTACACGACAGCGAAATTTTCTTTGGTGACTCTGATCTCTAGCCATTTTTTTGAGTACTACGGCCCCGCAAATGATCCCGGCCCGCAAATGATCCCCGTACCGCAAATGAATCCCAGATTGCACCGTAAATGATCCCAGGACCGGAAATGATTCCCAGATTGTACCATAAATGATCCCGGACCAGAAATGGTCGGCTTGCCATAAAATTTGGAAATGTGAGGACTCGGGAATTTGGACAGTGGATTTTAAATTTATGCAATCGCTTTTTTTATGACTGTGAAACTCAGAAAACAGTGAACATTTGTATTTGATTCCAAAAGATTTATTTGGTACTGAACCAATCACTATAAAGTTCAGGACACGCGAGAAAACCTCAAAACCACAACCAATAGGCCACGTTCGATATATCAATATTCTAACATCGATCCAAGGCTTTCGGGTCAAAATTGCAATTTTTTAAAGTTTCCTTTATCTTTCAATTCCCAAAAGAGACTTAGATACAAAGAAAACACCACCAAACATAGAAGTTCGTCCTGAAAGCCTCGGAGCCATGTTAGAACTAATGTATCGAACGTCGCCTATTACCGCTGGTGTTTGCGGTTTAATTTTCTCACGCTTAATTGGCTTTTTCCTTGCCAAACAATAATAATCCCTAAATATTTCTGGTATTCACAGTTTTCTGAGTTTTACAATAATAATACAATATTTTGATACAACAGTTACTCTATGAAACGCAAGAGAATGTGCAGTATGAACGATTTGAAAGCAAATTTCACGACTTTAAAAATCAATCCAACGTCACGAAATCCTGTGTTTGAAATCTGCTTTTTAGCTAGATCCTTCCCTGAATGACTTTATTGGGTCCGGACCTGAGATGTATGATAACGCAGGATATTCACTATATCCTCAAATTTGGAGACAACTGAGAATTCCCAAGTAGATTGACTACATTTTTACTACGGTAACTAGCACCAAGGAATCTTAGAGACTTTTGTGGGAGCCCGTGGCTATCTAGGACCTAAGTATAACAAGTGTACAGGGAAAAGTTCTGAGCAGTTAATTAGATGGAAGAGGCGTCTTCGAAAATTCATGTTTTTTTTTTTTGCAGTGCGCATCCTAAACGAAAAATTTATGCAGTCGACACATGTCAATTTAGTAATTTGCGCAGTATGAGAAACGTTTTTTATTGCTGCTTTTATGCCTGAGGTACTTGCCTTTTCTTCACCTAGGATAATTAAGAAAATATGTATCCATCCATAGACTTTTCATGGAGTCCACGCCATTCCTAACTTTTTGTGGTGGAATCAGTTCCGGTCCCGAGATCATTTGCGGTACAATTTGGGGATCACTTACGGGCCGGGATCATTTGTGGGCCCCTACGTATGTACCTTGGACTTTATTTTCACAGCTGCTCAAGCTGTGTAACTGTGATGATCTTTGTTATCTGTTGATAAATTCTCTGTCGAGGAACTGTCTGCTTAAATACTTTCAACTTACCCTTAATTCATTTTATTGACAATTTCTGTTTCCTAAAAAGGAAATTTTTACCACAATTACTGCTAATCTCGCAAGCTGATTGGCTTATTTGCCGTTGTCGATAAGAATCCATACCACGCTGCTCGCGTCAATGTGTCGCGCAATGCCTTTTTCAGCTCGCGCTCCGAAAAAAACATTTCCTTTGACGTTGATATTGTGGTAAAAAACAAATCGAAATGTGGTTTACACCACATTCGATTTGTTAAATTTTTTGCCAAAAGTAAGCTGAAATATTTGTTTCGAGCAAGTACTGTGCGAATAAATTAATCTTATAGAGCCCCGGCTAAATTCTTAAAAAATGACCTTCAGTGTTGTTGAACCAAAGTCACTATTGTTTGGGCTGTTATTCTCTTCAAGTTAGATGCTGCCAAACAAATATTTTATTAGCAGAACAATAGCTCTGAACGAACATTATAACCTTGGTACATATCTGACCTATATCTTAACCGTCCCAAAAATAGCTGGGTGAATTTTACACTTCAGTATGTAATTGAAGCATTACCCAGAGCTAATCCAGTACGCCAATATATACCTTGAATATATTTGGATAAATCGAGCTTCGTAATAAGAAACCTGCCACGTATAAAGACTTCAATCCGTTGAATAGCGCAACTCAAACATAGCGGCAATGCTGTCAACTTTTCAAATAAAATGTTCCTAAAGGGCGTGACAGGAAGGACGTGAGATGAACATATTGACGAGAAGGTGCAATACAATTGATTCCTAGCTGTAGAAAACAACCGAGTGAAAAGTGCGTCTTCCAAGTTCTTCAAATTCGCGAGACGTCTTGACGAAGCGCACAGTCGCTTTCACTACTGGCATGTTTTTTCATAATTCCATTAGCCAGATTCATTCCAGTCTGGTCGAATTTTGGTCAAGCTGAAAGCACTTTGTGAAAAGATTTTTTTTATAGGCCCTACTTTTCCTTTTGGCCCCGCGCCAAAAATAATATACAGGAATGAAAAACTATCATCCTACAGATTTGATTCTAATGGACTCTTGTAATGGCCAGTACCCTTCGGCCTTCCAGAGAAAGCATCGAAGGCCATTTTCCGCGAGGGAATGGTAACGATAGCTTCAAGATGGCGGACGAGGAGGAGGAAGATTACATGTCAGATAAATTTCTCCTGGGTGCAGCTGAAAACGCTCCCGGTTTAGTTCCAGACAAGATTGCGAAGAAGAACAAGAGAGAGATGAAGCACAACGAGCTAAATCAGCGTAACAAAATAAAACCAATGCGGGTGCGTGAGACAGAACACCGTGAACTAGGGCTCGCAAGTGCGTTGGATAGTAGCAATAAAGGGTTTGCTATGCTCCAGAAAATGGGATTCAAACATGGAATGGGCCTAGGAAAAGACGGTAAATTATTCTAAAGACTTGGGAAATGAATAAATGTCTTAGAAGTTTGTTGTTGTTAGGGATTACCATTTTTATTATTTAAGTTAAGTCATCATTTAGTAAGCTATTTTAACTTAATGTAAACTCGTTCTCTGCTACATTTTTCCACCTTTTGTTGTTGTTGTAATTGTCTCTTTTTGTGTGAGTTGTTAATTTCCTCTTAGTGTTGACTATTTGATTAATTGTAACTGTACTAATTAATCCTGTGTGTGAAAAATGTAAACTAAGGATTACAGATGGAAAAAAAAAAACAAAAAAAAAACAGTTAAACTGTTTGGTCTTAAAATTTATAAAGCTTGTTGACATTATTAATCAATTGTTCATGGAGAGAGCAAAAATGGGTATTGAAAAAGAAAGTTAANAAACAGTTAAACTGTTTGGTCTTAAAATTTATAAAGCTTGTTGACATTATTAATCAATTGTTCATGGAGAGAGCAAAAATGGGTATTGAAAAAGAAAGTTAACTGTTCTTTTTTTTTTATTTAAAAATGATTTAAAGCTTGTTGACATTATTAATCAATTGTTCATGGAGAGAGCAAAAATGGGTATTGAAAAAGATCATGCAAATTTGATCTAGACCAAAGTGAGCGCAAGTCATCCGAAGTCAATGCAAGTGCACACAAGGCCTGGCCAAACAGAGTTGCAAGTAGACCCAAGTTTTCAACTTGCGTCTACTTGTGAGTCCGTTTGGCCAGGGCTTTATGGCCAGTATCCAACCCTGTTTTTCTTCAGGGGGCAGGTATGACATTGGCTAGGTTTGCACACTCGACATGTCTGAAAATTTTAGTTTTCATGCTTCAAAATGTTCTTCAAAAATTTGGGTGTTGGAGACTCCTAACTATTGAAGTTTCCAATGACCATCCACCGGGTGGTTATGGATAGTTTTCAGTACTGAATATTTAACAAGTAGTGATTGCACTGTAGGCTTAATACTGCATTTCAAACATAACCTGTTCAATGCTTTCATTAGATCGTGGAGGCCTTGGTCATGACATACTGTTAAAGAGACAGAGAGAGGTAAAGGAGGCAATGAAACATGAAACTGCAAAGAAAAGAGTAAAGATAGAGCAGAATCAGAGAGACAGCTTCAGGAGACATATGAGTGACAAGTTTGCCGAGAGACAAACATTGAGTGATTTATATAAGAGCCAGAAGGCCTGTGAACAGCTGGATAAGTCGAAGGTAAACTCAAGCTCCTTTTTGAGTAATAATTACTTTTGTCTATAATTCTGAGGCCTTCCAAAACCACAGATACAGCTCTGGTGCCCAGTGCACCTCCCATTCGCCGTACCTTTTAGGGGTTACAAAAGTGGTTTTGGTAGTTCTTAGGGTGTTCAGCCTCAAAAAGTCCACAGCGGGAGCTTTCATAGTACCTTTTACACACACACTACCTGAAAAAATATGGCTGGGCAGGAGATATTTGACAATCAACATTCTGAGTGGAGGGTATTCGAAGCAATTGTCTTTATTGCCATTAAGTGTCCAGCATCAGTTAATATGTTGTTTTGGAATTGATACCTTTTAGGGGTGAAACAATATTCAAGCCACACCCACAAAACAGGATCTTGGTACCCCTTAGCGGTCATTTTCAAAATTTCTGAGGAGCACCCGCATCCTTTTTATATAGGAGTCTCCCCAGGCTCCCATTAGGCCACTATGCCATGAAGAAAGTACACAAATAATGGGAGATCAAGCTTACCACCTATCAAAAAATACTTTTTTGAGTGTTTAAAATTGAAAGAAAATAACCAACTTCCTTTTTGTCAAGTTGTAGACTTATTACTTTGCATTGTTGCCTCAGGATCTAACCTGTGTTGAAAAGTGGTTTTGGCCAGAAGAAAAAACTGAGCTGGATGACAAGGAAGAGAATGAAGAAGACAAGCAAGAACACAAGGATGAAGCAGAGGACGAAGAAGAGGAGGAGCTGGAGGTTTGTTGATAATTGGGGTTTTGAACAGATATTGCTTATCATATCCTGTGAGAATAAGGATGGGATGCTGGTCTGCTGGTACCCATTTATACACCTGGGTGGAGAACGGTACTGTGACAGTAAGAACACAACACAATGTCCCTGGCCAGGGCTCGAAACTGGACTGCTCAATTTGGAGGCAGGTGCACTAACCACTAGGCCACTGCACCTCCACAGATCTTTTAATTAGAGTATGAGAGTATGGTACTTAAAAACAAATCACTTGAGAGTTTTGAATGTTTCATGACATCATGTACATGAGCACTGACATGAGCACTGACATGAGCACTCTCAGCCTAAGCCATCACTCTTTGTTTAAGCAAACTGTTGTAAAGTGTATCAAAACAAGAAGGTTTTGATTGTTTAGTAAAACATTTGTGTCACCAGTTTGTTTTTTCCCTTGATAGCCATCAGAGAAGCTCGAGCACCTGACCATGTACCTCAGAAGAACCCATCAGTACTGTATTTGGTGTGGGACCAAGTTTGACGGTAAGCTGAACAACTACCTGAGTGGGGGACAGGGGTGTCTCTTGAAGCAGTCAATATGACTGAGTGTCAGCATGGTAGACAATTGGGATTGAAGTCCTCTGCCCTTGCCACTATCTGAATAGGCAACTTCTGTGTTGCCTTTTGCCACTGTATCAAAACAAGTCTTTGTGCAAAACCGTTCTTATGGGAATGCATTCCGCCTACATGTTCATTTTCATGCAAATCAAACTCATTTTCATATGAAAAGTTTTGCATGGAGAGTCATTTTGAAACAGAGGTGCAAGGTAACTCAGAAATGGCATATTTGTTTTCTGTAGTTGTGGGAATCAGCTTCTGGCCTTCTGTGAGTTGGGTGGCCTCTTTCAGGTGTTCAGTTAGTTGGGTTGCAGTGCAAAAAATGTCGAGCAAAAAAAAAGAGGGAGAGGCTGGGTGCAAGGAGCAATCTGATGCCACTTTCCTCACTAATTTTTTATCTTGATGTTTTTCCAACTGCTCTTTAACTACCCTGAAACCTGGAAGAATCCATCATTTGGGATTCTTAACATGCTATGTTATTTATCACAAAATATTTGTCTCCCCTCTTTTCAGTTGCATGCCTGGAAACTAGCTTTGAGCAAAGTGACCGCTATAACATAATACATTTTAATTAAAATTAACAGTTATTGATTC